TTTCTATGTCTTGTTTATTTTTCTTTACAAAAGCCAAATGTTGTTACACAATAACAATTACAATAATATTTGTTATATTTCCCTCATTTGAAAAATGAAATATTTTTATTTAAGAATTAAATAAATACAAAAAACCCTTTTTCAATCAATAATTTAAATACCATAATTAATCTACACCATAATTCTATTTTCATTGATACATATGAAAATCCTATATGATAAGATGTAAGAATGATGAAGTTTTTATTAAACTATGAATATTACATGATTACTTGATCCTCTGACTTACATTTAATTTTTATTTTAATTCATTTAAAACAAAAAAGTAACAATAATAAAGAAATTTTCAATCATAATAATATTTCTAATTCATAACGACGATTCATATTATATTCATCATCTTCAAGGACTGGATATGCAGCAACTAAACCATCTTGATTCCCAATATACATATTGTTATATACTCTCCAATATGGTTCTCTTACATGACGAGCTGGATGAAATAATCCTTGTAAAACATATTGCATTAATACAAGAACTCCTAATGATACTCTAATACCTTCAAGAGCTTCTAATGTTGCATTAATTACATGAGGAGAAGTTTCAAAAATATTAGGCCAAACATAATTTAACATATGAATCAAAGCATCTTCACAACCTAATCCATAAATACCTAATGAAATAAATTTTACAACAGTACATGCAGTTTGTCTATGAACAGCATCTTTTTCTGCAAGAGCATCACATAATAAAGGAATTACAGGATAAATATAATCTTTACTTTTTTCTCCAATATATTCAAATAAAAAAGCAAATGCTTTTAATACACCAGTTTTAATATTAATATCAGGCATACGATATTCATTCATTAATGATGGAATAACAGTAAATGGTGCACATGAATCTGCAACAACTGCAATTGCAATTGTAGTACATACTCTTAATTGACGATCTAATACTTTTAAATTATTAAGTAACATAATTAATACTTCTTGAGGACCAATTGCTTTTGCAATATCTCCAAAAGTATCTACAGTTGCACGTCTAATTGATTTTTTATGTGCTTTAAATGCATCAAGTAATTCATGACAAATTCTCATCCATTCTTTTAAATGAACCATTTCAGCACCTGTATCAGCTGATTTCTTTGCAATAATTCCAATTAATCCAATACATGCTTCTTCAATTCTTTCATTAGTATTTCTTAATATTGGAGTTAAACGAGGTACAAGATCACTAATAGATGGTCTTATTTCTTCTAAATTACATAATGAAATTATTTCTTTAAGAGTAATCATAGTAGAAGCCAATACTTCTGTATTTGATTCTCCTAATAATTCATATAAAATTTCACAAAGATCAATTAAAGTTGATTTTTGATTACATTTAATATATAATCCACAAATATTCCCTAAAATTTCAACTGCACATTGTCGAATTTTTGGTGATTTATTATGAAATCTCCATTTAATATTTTCTGAAAATGCTTCAAGATAAGGAACTACTCTTTCACTAAAACAATTCATTATAAATGAAATACTTTGTAATGCTTGTGCATTTTCATCACCAGAAGTTTGTTCAATAAAAGCAAATGTTAATCCATCAAATATTCTTTTTTCTAAATCTTCATCAATTTCATATATTCCAAATTGTTGAATTACTTTTTCCATTGCTTTTAATGTCATTTTTCTAAATGGTTCATTTTCATCTTTAAGAAAAACAACAATTTTTTCTAAAATATATTTTGCACCCATTTTTTGTGATAATAATAATGCTGTTTCAATAACTTCTTTACTTAATTTTTTATCAACTGAATTTCTTCTATGCCAAAATGATTCAAAAAATCTTTCTGCAATATTATTTTTTGATGTTTCTTTTCCAATAATTTCAACACTTAAACATTGTCTTATTACTTTTAATACAATTTTCTTCATTTCTTCATCTGATGTTTTAAATTCTCTTACAATAACTCTAATAATTTCCCATCCATATTTCGCTGCTATTTCTTCATCAACAACTGATATAACTTGTCCTGCTGCTTTAATATATGATGCAAGTAATCTTCCTCTCATTCGTTTACATCCTTCAATAATTGGTTCTAATGTTTGTTCTAAAACATCTCCACCATATGGATATGATGCTTCTGCAAGTGCTGCAATAGCAAGTGCTGCAAATTTTGTTATATTAGCTTCAATATCATTAAGTCGAGGAAAAACAATAGCAACAAGTGCTGATAAATGAGGAAGAACAGAACATCCCATTAAAATAGCAATTTGTTGAATACATTTTAATCCTGTATGACGTGCATACCAACTTTTCTTTGATCCACAAACAGCTTTTAAAAAAGGAAGTAATGATGGTATTCCAATTGCTGCAGCAACAACAGAAAATGCACGAGCTGTTGTATTTCTAATTGATTCTTCAGGTGAATCAATATCTGGTCTCATAGCTGCTATCATTGTTTGAAGACCAGCAGCTTTAGCCAAATTTGATATAATTTCTCTTCCTTCTACACGAGCAATAAAATCTGCATCATCAAGTAAAGGTGTTATAACAACTAATAATTTTGCAGTAAATGGACGAACTAAACTATCTAATTTAAAAATAATACGATTTACTACTTTTACTAAAATATGTCTTTCTTGTTGTTCTAAAGTTATTGACATAAGTAATGGTAAAATTTGTTCAAATAATACTTCTGCTCCAAATTCTTTTGTTCTTTCAGTAAGTTGACGTAATGCTTGTTTTCTCATTGCAGGTGTTCCATTTTTAATTCTTAATAATAATCTTTTAAGTTGAATTTTTTTTCGTTCTTCACTTGATAATTCTGATTCATCTCGTTGTATTAAAGCATCTTCAAAAAATGCTCGTTCTCCTGGTTTTACATCTGGTAATGATTCTATTTTATTTTGTATACCAATATCATTTGCAATTAAAGCAGGTGTTGCATCAGGTTTTTCATTTGTATCAATTAATGTTGAAACTACAGTAGGTTTTTCATCCCAACGTGATCTTCTTGGTCTTGGTGAATAATCAGATGAATATGATTCTGATCTTCTTCTATGACGACTTTCATATTCACTACTGTTTGACATAAATGAAATGAAGAACCAAGATTTTTTTCTTTTTCTTTTTTTTTATTTTTAATAAATGGTATTTAAAAAAAGAAAAAGATAAAAGAATAAATTAATTGTATTTCCATTCAGTGTTATATAATAATTTAAAGACAACTTTTTTTATTTCAATTAATCGAAGGTCCATTGTTTTAACAATATGAGAAAATAAAGGGAAATGTCTTCTTTTCCAGATATGATTAGAGAAAGGATAAATTGATGATATGTCTGGGATTTGATTATTTTCAAGATAAATCTTAAAATCACACCATAATTCATAATATTCATCTTCTGAATAAGGAAATTCAAACCTCGAAACAAAGACTTGAAGAGTAAGAGAGTAGGATGATGGTATATAATCAGATTTTATTACTTTTTTACCAATATGATCATAAGGATATTGAGAAAGATAATTTTCCATAAAAGAAGACATATCATGAATAATATCATTTTTATTTGGTTCATGTTCAATTAAACTAAGTGATAAATAAAAGAAATAAACAAAAAAAAGGAATAAAATAAACAAACGCTAATAACATTAACCTAAAATTTTTTTTATCAAGAGCTTTTTGATATTCTTCAATAATAGTATCTTCTTCACCTTCATTTCTAAGAAAAGAAATAAATTGAAAGATATAATAAGGAGAACCTCCTGAAGAAGAAATAGCTTTAATGAAATAATTAATAGAAAGATCAACATAACTACTATTTTTTTGAGGATCTTTAAGAAAATATTGATAAGCAGCTTTTGCCAAATAACCGTTAAAATAACAACTAGCATTTAAAATTTCTACTTCAGGAAAAGCATTTGCTTTTTGAATAATGTTAAAATATTGATGATTTTTATAAAGATAACTAATATATGAAATTGTATATTTTTCTGTTAAGAAAAATGGATGAAATTCATTTTTATTTAATGTAAGAAATTGTTGACAACAATTATTTCTAAATGAATGAAGAAGTTTTATAATTTGATCAATAATTGTTGATGAAACTCTTAAATTTAATAGTCTTCTATAACACGCTAAAAAACAATTTCTTAATTCAAGTCCAGTATACGTACTTCCAAATTTTTTTATGGAAAACCGTTTCCACATTGATTTGGTTGAATATCTTGAAAACGTCTGAATAATCGTCCCAATTAATAATTTCTCTTTAATTTCATCATTTTTATTAATAACTTCATGAAGTATTTGTTCTACAATTCTTATAAATAACTTTTTAAATGAATTCTTATTTGTGGGTGGAAATGCTTCACTTTCCATAAATAAATATGCAAGTCTTTCAATTTTATATCGATGGATTGTTGATTTTCTTAATACCATTACTTCTTTATTTGTTCCTTTCTTATTTTTTTTTATTATTTTTTTTTTAGTTCTTTTTCAAACACAGAAATTAACAAATGGTGTTTCATGGATATTGAGCAATAACAATGTGTATTGTAAAGAAAAATAAACAAGACATAGAAA